ACATCGGCATCATCGAGGATTAGGCGAGCCTTCTGAATATCAAACGCACCGGCGAAGCGAGGGAGCAGGGTCTGGGACGCTGGCATACCCGCTCTCCACCGAGGGCAAAGGCGGTGTGGGGTGGGATATCTCGGCACTCTCGACGACGGGCAGCGTTGGAGTCGACAGGAGATTGGGGACGCTCGCCGTGTCTGTGGGCGTTGCAGAAACTGGCTGGACGGGCGCAGCCAAGGCCTCTTTTCCTATGAGTGATTCAGTTCTGCTCGCATGGTCCGGGCTCACCACCCACTCGCAGTATGCATTCTTGTCCAAAGGCCAGATTCCAGTCTTTTTAAATCCAGCAGTGATGACGGCTGTATTTTGCGAAATCTTGTACCACGCATTCAGAGCGCAATGCACTCGCATTTGGTCGTCCGAGGCAAAGACGCCAGCTGCAATCGCGCTCGCATACTCTGCTTGTAACTGACGCTTGAAGTAGCCAAACACAGTGCGATCGAGTGGCTGAGTCTCAGTGCTCGTGTGCGCGGGCAAGACAAGAATCTGAATTTGATCGTAGAAAAACTCGGCCACCAAATCGTGCTCGAGGCTGTGCGTGGATGAGCCATCCATGATCAAAAGCAGCGGGCCTGACGGGTGTCTTTCTCGCATGCAGCTTCGCCACTCGCGCAGATAAGTTTTGAACAAGTCTGAGGTCATGTACCCCTTCTCGGTCGTTGCGGTAGAGCAGGCGTCAATGGGAACGTGTTGGCAAACCGTCGCGACGTTCGTACCCTTCGTAAAAATCAGCATGGGAGGGAGCGGCGCAGTTCCATCGGCACACACCAAGAAGACGCCGGTGATGTGCCGTCCGAGGCTGTTGTTGTGCCCACCGCCAACGAGCGCGACACGACCCCACGATGCCCCTAATACAGTCGATCCCTTGACGCGAGAAGAAATCTCGCTCTCGTCAAAGTTGCTGACGCGGCTCGGCTCGACGGTAAGGAGAGGATGTTGATCGTAGGCCTGTTTGAGTTGAGTCGGGAGAGTCCCGAGATTGTCGGGTGTCAGCGCTGCAGCCCGGCACACTTCCAGCACACGGCCCTTTCGAAGCCTGACGCGTCCCTTCGCTCGCTTCAAAAAGGTGGCCCACCAGGACCGGCTAGGCGTGTCTTGGACAAACGCCCGCCTTGGTGAGCCGTCGAAAGAAGTTGTTTCAGAACACGGTTTCAAGTACTTGGCGGCCTGCGCTTTCGTCAGACAGCATGACGCGCGAGCAAACGCTTCCATAAATTGATAATTGCATCAACTTCGTGATCGGTAAAGATGGGTGGTCGGCCTTTCGTGCGGTGGACGCGCAGCTCGATCACTTCATCCAGCGTCCAGACTGAATCAGTTCGCGG